AGATGGTGGGCGATACACACATATTATGCCAAGCTTCTCATTAGATCTTCCGGAATTCATTGTAAGTCCACATACCTCGATTTCTCCCTCTTCCGACGCCTTGCTCACGAACGGTATGCATTTGGCTGTTAAACTGTTTTTGACATAAATTGCACATCCTCCATGTATGCGTCTCACTCGACAGAAGCACGAGATAAGGGTATAGCCGTCTATATTCGCGGATTCTATAGCGTCCAATGGTAACCACGTTTCGGTAAGACATAGTACATCTGGCGACGAATCGTTAGCAAGTAGCTCCATTTCACCGAATTTATTTAAGAGACTGCAAACATTAAGATGAATTATTTATATATATATATATATATATATTAAGTTATTCTCTTCGAGGCATTTCTTTGAAAATTTTGTTGTTTTGATGACTTCTGTTTACTGTGAGAGGCGACAAATTTAGTGGAGTTAGATATATAGTCTGCATTGGGCAAGGTGGTCATTGGACTTCTAGTGTTCTGTGTATTAGCTTCCGGTGAAATAAGCGTTCTCTGTGTGTGGTGTCTTGTTGATGGCCCTTGCTTGACTGTGGCAGAGGTATCTTTCGGTGTGACTTGTGGGGCTGACGATGACGTGCATTCAGGGCGTTTTTCATGTTCGTTTAGAGTTTGTGGTGGTGGCATTATCTCGTTGCTATCTGAGTTGAATAATGATGATGGTCTTGTTCCAAAGCTGTTGTGTAATATTAGTTCTGAGATTTCGTGGCAGAGCCTATGTTTACCCTCATTGTTCAGATGGTTGGAGTCGTTCTTGAAATGATGGCTTCGAAAACAGTCAAATAAGCTCAGTAAATGTGCATTTGACCCGTGGCATGTGGATTTAATCTGTCTGTTTATGTTGGCAATAATATTATTTAGTATGGGGCGGTTTGATCTCCACTGTGGTATAGTGGTTAGTACGATGTTTGTGTTCTTTATAGCTTCTAGTTTGTCCTTTAGCTCGTTCGCTTTAATAAATCCTTTGGACAGGGCATCATTTGATCCTGCGAGAATAATGACATAATCCATTTCATTGAAGTCGGCTGTAAGTACATCTACATTCTTGATTACATCACTTATAAGAGCATTTGGACTGAGGATCATTTCGACGGCAAAGTTTTGCAAAGGCAACATTTTACTTAGGATGTATACAATATTTCGTCCAAAATCATCACTGAGTAGCAATATCTTAGACTTGTTATGGTTTTGGATTCCTCTATGAGCTTCGCTATCAGAGCTGGATTTGACATCTTTCATGTGGGTCCTTCCTGTATGTAGGCTGTTATGATTCGGTGTCTGGGTTGCATTTGTTTGGGAGGCACGTTGTGTCTGTGTAGATTTCTCGACTAGAGTTTTTCTGCCTGCAACTTTTTCGATTACCCCTTTCAAGTATTTCATCGTTTCTTCCCTGGCTGCTAGCTCTCTGTTCAGCTCATCATTTTTCCTGTTTAGTTCAGTCAGCATATTGTTTTGCTCCTCGATTTTCGTTTCTCTTTGTGCCAGTCTATTTCTTAAATCCAACACTATACTATCTTGAGATGCTGTGTTTTCGTCTAAAGTATCATCAGCCTGTATATGTATATAACTATTATTTTGTAAACGATTGACCCCTTCTGTTGATGATTTTTGTTTTTTATCTTGTTGCTGTGTATTCATGATTGCTGCTATCTTGAAACGTGAGAAATATTCAGAGACGTGGCAACGTCGCTTCAGGATTGACACAACTCCGCGTAAGACATGTTATTGTTATCATTGGAATAGTATTCTCCCTAATAGTTGTGTGTCTGGTTGTGTGGTATGATTAAAAATATTTATTTCATGAACTGTACACGTAAATATATACAACAACACGTAGCGTTGTTGCCGGAGCGAATTCGAAATTACCGAACATCAAAAATATCTGAATACCGTCCTGTAGCTGCGACCCGGGACATCACTGAGTGGTACAAGGTCACTGGCTCAACCCGACGACAGAACTGGGTCGGGGTCAGTGTGTCAGATCAGTATGCAACCTTCAACCGACGGTTCCGCTTACGCGTGTAGAGGTAAACGAACCCGTATAATCGATTGCGTTTCAAAAAAAATAATAATGGCACACTCATACACCAATAATGAACTCGTTGATATGTTGTTAATTTATGGCGAATGTCTTCAAAATGCTACAGAGGCTTCGCGAGTGTATGCAGATCGTTTCCCTAGACGACATCATCCAAGGCCCCGCAGATTTGTGTACCTGGTCCAGAGAGTCAGGAATACGGGCCATTTGGAGGAATTTCGAGGTGGGCACAGTGGGAGGCCTAGACAACCACGAATGGTGCAAGTTGAGGAAGAACTACTGAATCGCGTAAACGAGAATCCCTCAACAAGCACTAGACACGTGGCTAGAGAAGTGCAAGTATCAAAAACTAAAGTGTGGCAAACGCTGCGTGAAGAGGGGCTGTATCCGTTTCACGTCCAACGTGTACAAGCCCTTCAACCTGACGATTTTCCAGCAAGAGTGCGGTTTTGTGAGTGGTTGTTGCATCAAAATGACAATAATTCGGACTTTTTGAAGTGCATATTGGTGACAGACGAATCTACGTTCACGCGTAATGGGGTGAATAACCTTCGCAACACTCATGTTTGGTCAGTAGAAAATCCACACGCTGTCCGTCGGGCACATTTTCAACAAACATTTTCGGTGAATGTTTGGGCTGGCATGGTGAACGGTATGCTCATTGGACCATTTATTCTCCCAAATCGATTGAAAGGGATGCAATACCTAGACTTTTTACGCAACATTTTGCCTTCCTTGTTAGAAGATGTGCCATTGAGTGTAAGACAATCAATGTGGTTTCTGCACAATGGTGCACCGCCCCATTTTAGACGCGAAGTGCGTGAGTTTTTGAATGAATTATTTCCGAATAGGTGGATCGGACGTAATGGACCCGTAACGTGGCCTCCGCGATCTCCAGACTTAACACCATGTGTTTTTTTCTTTGGGGAGAAATGAAACGCTTAGTGTACAAAACTGAAGTGCATACGGTTGACGAACTTCGTCTCAGAATTGAACAAGCTGGTGCTTTCATTCGGGGGAGGGACTCCGTTCTCAAAGCCTGCACCGATGCTTGGCTACGTCGTGCACGCACCTGCGTTTTTGAATCAAACGGCGATAACTTCGGACAATACCTATAAAGTACGTTTACCTAAAAACTGAAAACGCCGTCATATTTGTTACCTCTATTCGTGGTCTGCACCACCGCCTACGTCTGCTCGGTAGCGCATCAGCATTTTCTGTTGGAGCGGTATGATTTCGGGCAGAGACGTACTTAGCCCTACTCGTCAACTGGAGAGTAAGTAATTTTTCCTTTATTTTTTTTTTACTTGGTCGCCCTCGTTTCACTACACATTACCTTTGTTATTTCAAGGGTAGTTGTTTCTGAAAAGTACAACCCCAACTTTGCGGACACCCTGTATACTTTGTTCATATTTTTTATAAAATACTTCTAAATAGTTGCTTTATCATATACAAATGCAATGTAGTTAAAAGATATTAAGGAACCATGATCAAATGACTATTTTGGGATTTATAACTTTTTGATATTTTTTCCTCAACTTTGACCATCTGTAGTGAAACAAAAATGTACTCTGCTATAACTGCATTTATTGAATAAAAGATTGCTCATTGCATACAGATTTCAGAATGGCACCATACGTGCTATTTGGAATAGAAAAAAGTAATAGCTGCTTTTGTAAGTGACTGACACACTACAATGTAATTATTGGATTCAAATTCATGTTGCACTGGTTACCGATCAGTGACATGCTAAGTAGTACAAAGCTACATTATCATTACCTGCTCTTGGTATGATTTTATGAAGGTTGAGGAAACAATATCAGAAGGTTATAAATCAGAAAACAGTCCTTATTTTTCATAATATATTTTAACTAAATTGCATTTGGATATGATAAAGCAACTATCACGTATTTTTTAGGAAAAATGAACAAAGTATAACCTTATTTGTACATGCAGCTAAAGACCATAGATGAAAAGTTTAGTTTTTTTAAAATTTAAGAAACAATTCAATATCTCAAAAACGGTGACACTTTTGTATAGATCAGTTTTTGGTATTTGGAAGGTCAGTCTAAAGCCTACCTTCTCCTTAAGTTTGTCGTGGTACTTATTAGACACCCTGTATAATATATAGTTTTCGTTCTTCCGACCTCAGATGGCCAACAATGGACACTTGTTACATGCTATTTGGCAACTCCTCAGAATGGTGTAGGCTTGGTTTCGGTGGACAACGAACGAAAGCTGAGCAACTTCACTCTATGCAGAGGATAAGATCTATCGAACAAATAAGACAGCACTAAGTGCCATCTATTACCAGTAGCAAGCTGAATGCTCAGCGTTCGTTCGTTGTCCACCGAAACCAAGACTACACCATGCTGAGAAATTTGCAAATAGCACTTAACAGCTGTCGGCCGCCTGTTTTCGGACGGACGAAAGCTATATTATTGGTTTGTTGATAGCGAAAGAACTATATCTGCTACAGCGCCAGAATCGGCGGCATCTAGGGGCCAAAGTGGTGACCCGGCTGTCACTGCCAGCTAACATACAGTTTCAACAGACAGCTTCCTGTTTTCACTCGATTCTGGTGATAGACAATTTGTGCTGATTTGTTTGGATATACTTCATAGAGTTCAGCTTTCGTTCGTTGTCTACCACGACCAAACATACACCATGCTGAGGAGTTGACAAATAGCACGAAACAGCTGTACATTGTTGGCCGTCTGAGGTCCGACGAACGAAAGCTATACTACTAACAAGATTCCTGTAACTTCGCGATACTCCTGTATTTATGCTCTGATTTCACGTCTGCTTCAGTATATCTGAAAAAATTATGGACGCTTTTGCGAAGCTATTAAATAAAAGCTAAAGATGTGGCCTAGATGTTTAAATAACAAAAAATTTATTTGTTTTTGATTTGGAAGATACTACAGACCAAGCGGTCGCCGTTGTCCTTTGTGTGCAATCTGCCATGGAAGATATTCGCGCGGCTGTACAGCAAAAACGATGAGAAGATGCTCCAGGTGTTCGTAGAATGCAATACAGAGAGCGAGTGCAGCTCGTGGTCCTGCAGTGCAGATGTCAATGTGCGATTGCTGACCGTGCGACCAGGTGGTAAGGACATTACGAGAGATTACAAACACTTGTTCTGTCTGAAGGAGTACAACTGGGGCTATACGGAATTCAAGACCTGGAACGACGTACTTAACCCAGAGAAGGGATACATCAAAGACGACATAATCACCTTAGAGGCCGTTGTGGAGGCTGATCCGCCGCAGGGCATCAGTTGGAGCAGCGACCAGTACATAGGTATTCATGACTTCATACAGTTTTTACTTCTCATGTTATCATGCTAATAGTTGCGGTAAATACAGTGTTTCCAGCATAAGAATGGGATAGCATTATGATCCTGGAAACACCATTCAAAATATATAAGATTTGACAGGTCGGCTGCCAAACAAGTAGGAGTGCGCATGTTTATATTTTAAATCAGCTGTTGGTGCTTTATGTGTTTTTTTATTACTTGTGGTTAAGTATCTTAGACCCGATTTTACTATTGATCCGCGGGATCTAAAATCTTATTCCGGATCAAAATAGACGAATGAAAAAGCGCCTTTGTAGTAATGAATAAAACGAATATAGTCGATTTCTACTAAAATATCTGTCAAACTAGCGAAAAAATATACGAGTTGTGTAAAAAGGGCCTCTAATCCCTATTTTTTCGTGTATTTTGAATCGCTGCTATACCTTAAAAACTACCTTTCGGATTTTAATGAAATGTTTACTCAAGAAGGAAGACCGCCAAAGCCGAAGGATTTAAAAATCGTCAAATGAAGCGTAGTCAATATCGAATGTACTCACAGATGGAACTGCATAGAGTATTTTAGAATTCTCAAAAAATGCCACGAAGCGTTTGACTGTACAATATCGCCGTTTGAAGCGTTTGGATGTATGTTGCATTAGTAAGATCAAGAAGTCCATTGCTCCTTTATCCAATGGCGAAAATATCTAGGACTTCAAATACTACGTCAAGAATGAAGACACGTTCGTACAAAGTAAGTATGTTGAGAAAGTATCAAAGGTAGTGCTGAATATATTTTGCATATTCGGATCATCATCTATATTGCAATCTGATAATGGTCGTGAGTTCGTTAACCGAATTGTGGGAAATTTGACAGAAATGTGGCCAGGTCTAAAGATTGTAAATGGAAAGCCGCGCCATAGCCAGTCACAAGGTAGCATGTCGAAAAAATGCTCATGGTGTGGAAAAATGGTCTGTAGGACCAATATTCGTTCGACTAATGAATAATAGAGCATATCATCATGGAATTAAAAGATCGCCGTACCAAGCAATATCTGGTTGTGATGTGAAACTTAGATTAAGGTCATTAGTTCTGCCTGTCGAAGCAATCGAAAAAAATCGAGAATGAGGAGGATCTGGAGAAAATTCTTGAAGAGTTAAAAAATAACAGTAGCGAGGTAAATAAGACAGAAATCGAATCCCATTGAAATGAAATTACAGAAAAAGCAGTTTACCAGCTTTGCGACTATAAGGGAGCTGAGAAGTGTGACTTATGCAAAAAGAAACAGAAAATAGTAAATAGAAGGAAAAGTGCGGTAGTTTCTTTAGTATTACAGGATAATAAAAAGACAGCTTCGTCAAATAAAAAGTTGCAAGGTAGGTGATAATACCGTCCGTGTCAAATTTCCTGACATTGATGGAGATAGAGGAAACTTCCTATATGTTTTAATGGTGATACTTGAATGTGGTTTATAAGCTGGGCAACCAGTTTGGCAGAGCGCTCGATTTTTTTTCTAGGACTCGTAGAGCTTGAAAATGTATCGTCCGAAAAAAAACACTCCGTCAAATATCCAATCTGGGGGACAAAGCTATAAAAGATGCCACTATAAAATCAAGTGTAGAAGTAGTCAGTTTTTTCATATCATTGGGTATGTTAACCATCTACTTTTTTTTATTTACTTTGTCTAACGAATGTTTCAATAATTCGTATTAATTAAATTGCTATACCCGCACAAAATATTTGAAAATTGGACAGTTCACTTACAGTTACGTAAAAAAATTATGTTTAATCTGTTATACGGTTACACCCGGATGAAATATTTTAAAATTGTAAAGTTCAGTTACAATTACAAATGAAAATTATGTTTTTTAATTGTTATACCCACATCAAACATTTAGAAATTCTAAGGTTCAGCTACAGCTACAATTATCACTCCTATTGGAGTTGCAAGAACGATTATACAGTCTTCCGTACACAGCATTGTATGCTGTACGAACATTGGCAAAACGATCTTAGAACAGCTATACAAGCGGAATGGGCACACCTGATAGGACACTTCAGTCATTTAAGAGGTTGTGTAAGGGCTGCAGGTAACAGTTATACAACAAAAGTGTAAACCTGTTGCAGCCGCTATAGAACATTTGCGTCAGTGCAAGATTCAGTTTTTGTCAACTATACAACAATTCTGTTACGTGATTCTACTTAATTGCAACCAAAACTATTTCTTGTATATTGTTTAGGCGAAGTGAAGAATATATACACATTACAGTCATCTTGTTTACTTACATATCGGCCATTGTGAATTTCATACACAGGTATATGATAAACTTCTGCACTGTGATATAGGGCTATTGAATTACTTGCGTAGCCAATTTTATTATGATTATCGTGCAAAGTAGTAACGCAATTTCTACGGGCTTCGTATTTTTAAGATGAAAAACTGAACTTATCTGAGTTAAATCTTCCACAAATCCTATATTTAGACACAATTACACTAATGTTTATCCCTTTTTATCTGTAATGTCAAACTGAAACATAATTATTATTAATTTTTAATAGAGGAATATGTTTTTGCCCAATATGGTGAGTGGTTACGTATTATCATGGCATCGTCCATATTGCATTTGGTTTATTAGAATATTTAGGTGTTGTCTGCATGTGTTATACAACAATTTGACAAATCTCTGAAATGAAATACGGACAGAGTCGAATGATTTACCCAGAATTTTTACCAGATCTATATCTCCTGTTTGTACAGTTGATAAAACCTTTTAAACCAATATGCATGTCTTAAAATATTGGTTATGGCACTTTAACTAAGAAGATGACAGCAGAAAGTTAGGTTATGGTGAAGTTGTATACCAACATATTTAGCAACAAATGTATGCCGAGCACAGCAATTTTGTACTATAAAAGATGTAATATTGTTGCAGATGTACAGCCTTTAACAGTTACTAAACGACAGTTGTATAAGTGCTTCCGTTGGAAGCAATTTGTTGACTAAAGCAGTAAATGTGCACATCAAAACAACAAGGCTCGGGTTTGTTGTATAAACGTTACCATGGATGCCACAACACAACTATTTTCACTACCGCGAAAATATGCCGTATAAAATAGTTGTATAAACGTTTATGCAACCGTTAAAAATTTGTCCTATAAGGTGTTGTATAACTATGCTATAAGAATATTTTGAACACCAAATTTTAGAGCAAATATGCTGCAGAAAGCAAATTTGCATTCCACACAACATTAAGGTGTTCAGGCAACAACAATTCAGAACTTTTACGGCTGAACAGTTCTTTTACCAAAAGCTTATAGCACTACTTTGCTAGTTGGGAGTTATAAAAAAATATATTTAAATTGTAAAGTTCAGTTACAGCTATGAAAAAAATGTTACTAGAATAATTGTTCATTTTTGCAGTTACTCACCTGTGATGAGTTACTTACCTGTGATGAGAATGCCATGGTATGGCTAAGTTATGTTTAATAAATTTATTTATTACTGAAATAAATAATATAAAAATGATGACATTATGTTTTCTTTAAAAATACCCGTCTAAATCGGCTGGTAACGTTTCCATCTAGTTAAAACCACTAAGGATTGGCTAGACCTAGGTATAGCCGGGATCCAGTTTTAACCGTATGCAACCGGCTAATGCTAGGTTTGGCCATGAATGTATAGGTTACACCTAAGACTAAAAAACTGCCAGTGGCTACACCTAGTTCTAACCGGCTAAACCTAGTTGTCACCGCATTTCGAGTCTAGTTATTAAGAATAAAATGACTGATTTTAATGTTTTGTTTTCAAATACAGGTAACTACTTTTGTGGCCGTTGTCGTCCTAAAGCAGAACCACACACACCATTTGAGATAGTAGCCAAGAAAATATTTTTCCCGTGTAGCTTTGGCTGCTCAGATCTGCTAGCATGGGGGCAGGTACTGGACCATGAAATCGTCTGCAAGAAAAGAACCTTAATTTGCCCTTTTCCGACTTGCTATTCTACTACACAACTGAGTCTATTACGAGATCATATAAAAGTTCAACATCCATTATTTTATCAAGATACCCGTCAACAAATACAGCTGGTTCTGAGTTCATCGACTCCCATGACACGTCTGCATGGCATACGTGACGGAGACTACACTTTTTTATTTTTTATAAAGTTCGAACTTATCGCAAATAATCAATATTGTTGTAATTTTAACATATGTCTAGTATGGCCACAATACATTCATGAAACAGAGTTGGATGATGTGAAATGTAGAGTTGAATTAAGCATTCCCGCTGAAAATGTGAAAATAATTAAGTTAATATTCGGCAGAGATATAGAAATGTACAATGACAGACAACATTGTCTTAGTTGTTTGTACCAAAATTGTGATAAGATGTTTCACGAGAATACATTTGACTGGATAACTGAGAAAGTGATAGTATACACCAAATCGTCTGTAAAAAGCAATGTATTCTATAGCATTGCACCGTACAAACAGGAGCGAGTTACCTACCTCGCGCCAGAGAATCTGGAATGTCCAGTTTGCTTCGAGTACATGACGGATCAAATTATCAATTGTGCGAATGGCCATTCCTTTTGTCAGAACTGTAAAGCATCCATTGAAAACTGTCCTATTTGTAGAACCACTTTATCAGATTCGAGAAACTATGCATTAGAAAAGTTAGTGAAGTCGCTAAAAATAGCTTGTCGCAGAAGCACAACAGGTTGCGCGTTTGTCGGAACAGTTAATCGCGTGAAAGTACATGAAAAATCATGCAAAGAGCCATAATTAAGGCATAAGACTAGAATTGACTATGTTTACCATGTAGCAACAGATAAGTTAGTGTTATATTCTTTTTTAGTATTTAAGCCTACTGAATTATATTTTAGCTTTATATTACTTATATACTAGACGTTAGGCCTCAACTTTGCTATTTTCTAGAATCAATGCTTCTTGTTTAAATAGTTTTTACATTTTTATTCGAGTTTTCTAACTTACTAATACGCCGAATGTTAACCTTAAGTTTGCTACTTTCCAAAATAAACGGTTTATTTTAAAAAATCTGTGTTTTGAAATGCACGCATCATTATCAAAATCTTATATTTATATCAATAAAGCAACGCGAAGAGAACCACGGCAGTATTTCTTATTTGCAATCGTCAAAAATGTGACACGTCGCTTCCCTTCGCATTGCTCCATTGTGCAGATCACAAAACATATACACCACAAAACACATAAGACTGAAAAAGTGGGAGCTGCACGTTAAATTATGGCAACACAGTTGACGTTTTTCAGATGGTTGCGTCGCCTACTTGCCTGGAGATATCGAGGACCTATCGAAAGAATGCTGAGAATGCGGCTGGAATAACGAATTCTAGGAATGTGCCGGAGAATTCGTTTGTTCATAATTTGAAATCTGCTGAAAATGATATTTCCGATATTTAAGGTATATTTTATGAACATATATTCATAAAATATCCCCAATAAGGGTAATATCTCTTTCAGCAATTTTGCTCAAAACACGGTTCAGAATAATAAAATCCAACACCAATTATGCAGCACAAAATATATTTAGTTTAAAAAAATAATCATGTGCTGTTCACAATGGTATAAAAATTGTATTACATGGAAATATAGATTTATTTATTCCAAATTCTTTGTAAAACAGATGTTTATCTTCATTGAATTGCTTCTTGATAATTCTGAAATATTACAGAAAATACTAATGTAAATCATAATTCTTTGTAAATAAACTTGTCACTTTTAATTAGTTTGCTCAGTTCTATGCCATTAGTTTGTTGGCCAGTTGGGCAGAATTTTGCTTTATAAGGTTTAGGGCTTTATGATAACTCTGCCTATATTACCATGTCTTATTTAATACAAAAAAACTTTCGTATTTTATATAACGGTGCCAACTACATGGATTATGAAGAGGCTGAATCCAAACATGCAATTTTAAATGATCTACCAAGTGCATCATGCTGTTATGTTAAATTCACAGCCTACATGTAGCACTTTATGACTGAAGACAGTCTCCTGAACTTCTGCATCTCGCACAATAGTCACAATACATCTCGCGTATACCAGAACAGCTACCGCTAGTGTTGCATTATATTTTATACTCATTTTTAACGAAATATCTCCGAAAGCAAAGCATTGATAATCTGGAAATTCACCAAAACAAGGGCCATATCTGGTATCTTTACATTTAAATTAAGATAGAAAAGGCCGGTAATACAACTTCTTTGATTTTGCCTAGAGAGGATGACCTTTGTGTCGCCACTTCGCCCATAAGACGTTTCACCCCCCAGAGCCGCTTTCCAGTGCCTCATTTGTGGTAGTGGGAGCTACCCACTACTTGTCAGCACCGTTTCAGTGCAGTACGGTACTATTGCCCTCTTCATGTGTAAAGGCAAGTAACAGGTGTGGTGTTAAAGATCGGTTTGAGTAGGGTTCATTTTTCTTTGATCAATACTCAAGGGAAGCAGTCACTAAGGTCCCGTGTGTTGTTATAATGTATCCTTAGTTTGAATGTGAGGCGTTATTAAGAACCTATAGTTGAATTTGAGGTCTTCTAGCCATTTTATACTACAATGTGTAGGTTGGCTCTTGTTAGGAACTTCGTGTGTCATTTTTCCCCTCTCTATCTTCGTTTCCTCAGGTTACACCCGTATCCGGATGTATGGGCATATGTATCTACTTTTGTGGTTGCATATGTGCATTCATTTCGGGCCTGATGAAGCCAACAAGTAGAAATACGTCTTGCTGGGGTTACCTATCCTATTTTCTGCTCGAATACACTTTTTCCTACTTTTTGCGGATTTTGCCAATTATTTTCCTATTTTTTGTTATATATATATATATATATATATATATATATATATATGTTATATGCACTCAAAACAATGGACTTACTACTCCATACAATGTTGCAGCAGACGCTAGCTCAGCAACAGATAACGACTTCTCGCTAACACGTTGTTTACGCTTTATTTTCTAGAAGTGCTTTGTAAGCACACCAATAGTATAAATAGGCCTTGTGCCCATTTCATGTCGTTCATTACCCGGCTAGGCACCGTAACAGTCACTTATGTAAACTTTATGTTCAGTACCCGGTTAGACTCCGTAAATGTCACATTTGTAAACCTTTGTATTTTATATGGATTGAAGCTTCAGTCCTCAAATAAAATTTTTTAAAAAGTTATTTCTAAATCTAATGATTTAAGAAATTGGTGTCAGAGAAGTGGGATAGCTTCAACGCATTAGAACACGTGCATACTAACTAGTGTGGTGGATGCCTATCCTTTAAGCTGAAAAGGACCAACGAGCCTTAAGAAGAAATAAACCCATTGAAGAAAGAAAACTACAAGTAAGAAACTACAAAGCAACAAGAAGAAGGAAAACAACAGGGGACACAGCGAGCAGCAGCCACCCAACTGCAGACAGACTACTGGAAACATCGCAAGAGATCCACTAGCCGCCTGGAGAACACGACTGCCTCCCGATGTACCCTTGGTAACGTACAATTTTAATCTAACTATTTTTTGCGATTTATCTCTGTGTGTGTGATTGCTACATCTTTTTATTTGCATTTTTGCGCATTTACTCTATATATTGTCGATTTTCACGTATTTTTCCCCATTTTTACGTATTTTTCTATTTTACATTTATATCTTTTTGCATTTTCCCTTGACATTATTGAATCTTTTTGAAACAACTTTCCATTTAAAATGTCTACTAACGGTTCAGATGATTACCAACCAGCTGAAATTCCTGATAACGTTCATGCGAACATTGAACCTTATAGATTATCTGAAATATTTTCGATTGTACCCGAGTACGATGGAAACCCGATATTGCTATCGACCTTCATCAACGCGTGCCGAACGGCATATCAAATGGCCGTCGAGGAGCAGCGGCTTCTCGTCGTTTTACATATTAAAAACAAACTTCGCGGACGTGCCGCCGAACTTGTGAATAGCCGAAATCCTTCCACGTGGGAAGACATACGGTCCCTGTTAGAAACGCACTTTGGAGATCTTAGAGATCTCACATCTTTAATCGCGGATCTTCAACACATGCGCCAACTCCCCAACGAATCACCCCTAACCTTTGCATCTAGACTGCAGACGCATGCAGCCAAAATGCATTCCGCCGTGAATAGACAAAATCTAAATCGCGAGCAAAAATCTGCTCAAAGTTCCCTCATCGAAACGATGACTTTAAATTGTCTATTAACAGGATTAGACTCAAAAATAGGACCTGTTGTGCGATCAGGACATCCCACGGATATCTTGACCGCAGTTTCGTATATCAAACGAGAGTTACAACTTTCATATTTGGAACGACAAAAATTCGCCAGAGCCCCAAACCCGAATCAAAATTCAGTTATTCGAAGACCAAACCCTAAAATTTGTAATTTTTGTAATCGTCCCGGTCACTTGGCAAATGAATGCCAACGGAGACAACAGCCTACAAGCTTTGCCCCAAGACAGTTTAACCAGCCCCAACCTCAAAATTACCCTAGGCCGAATCAACCTATGCAAGTTAGACCATCTACATCTAACTACCATCAAAATTCTAATCAATATCCTCCCAGACCATCTGTAATACGACCAAATGTGCCTAACGCGAGTGCGCCAAGACCCTCTGTAATTCAGAGCAATCCAAATTTCCAAAACCCTAATTTTCAAAGAAATTTTAGACAAAATCCTCCCAATCGAATTAATTATGTCGCCCCTGATTCTTACGATTATTCCGACTACGGTGAACCAGACCTATACAACACGGACTACGCTAATGAATATGACGATACCCAATACTCCGCCTACACACCTTCCCCATGCGATGATTTTAGAGAACCCAGTAACGATTATTGTTACGAATATAATCAAACCGCCGATACATTTGTTAGCGAACTTAGCGAATCTCAGTGTCGAGGACCCGAACGCGAAACCGTGTGCGAGCGTCAGCAACACATGCGATCAGATGTTCATATAAACCCTCCGTTTATAGTCCCGTCGACAATTCACCCAGTTAGCCCAGACAACTTATATTACATTAAAGATGCTACTGGAAAATTCAAAATTCTCATTGACAGTGGTGCAGGTTGCTCCATTTTCAAACGTAACACTTGTCAAAATTATACTAATCGTGTCGCAGAAAATATCTCTATCCGAGCTATTACTGACGAAAAAATTAGTATTACTGAAGCAGTCTTAGTCCCATTTGCTCCCAATGATTATCACAAAATTTATGTCCATGATCTAGATATTTCATTCGATGGCCTTCTTGGGTCAGATTTTCTTGAACATTATGATTGTATTATTGATTTGAAAAATCGTCAATTGATTACAAATTTCAAAACAGTCCCTCTTTTCAAAGTAGGTGACGAAAATGATTCCAAAGCTTCTCAATTTAAAGAAAAGTCCGAAGCTTCGCAATTTAAAGAAAATTCTCAAGTTCAAAATGTTATTTCCATTCCTCCCAGAGTTGAACAAGTTGTCAAGCTCAAATCCGAGCTTAGAAATACTGAAGCCATTCTTCTGGCGTGTGAGGTAGAAAAAGTCCGTCTACCCAGTTCCATAGTTAAAATTGATTCTAAAGGCGAATTCCTTACTACAGTATTAAACTGTAATGCCATTCCAAAAAATGTAATTTTACCCCAATTAACTTTCGAGCCCTTTAACGAAACTTCTATCAATAATTTCAACACTTCTTTACAAAATCAAAGTCAGTATAACCGTAGAGATGTTATTAGAGATCAATTACGTCTCGATCATCTCAACGAAGAGGAAAAAGACTTAATTACGAATCTTTGCTTAGATTTTTCGGACATATTCTATTTAGATAGTGATAGCTTGTCATTTACAAACGAAATTAAGCATTCCATTGATACCACTACCAGTAAACCAATTTTTACCAAATCCTACCGATACCCTTATGTCCACAAGCAAGAAGTCAAAGATCAAATTTCGAAATTACTAAAACAAGGTATTATCGAACCTAGCACATCGCCATGGAATTCTGCGGTGTGGGTTGTACCAAAGAAAATGGACGCC